GCCCCCCCCCCCCCCCCCCCCTTCCCACTCTTTTTCTCGGTGAAAGAATAATATGTTACTTACGTGATGGTTTGCCCTCGTCGTTCAGCTGTTCCTTGCTAGTAATTTTTTTGACGTACTTCTCCACTTCCGGCGTGTATTTCAGCTCAGAGAAGCTGTATAACTTTTGTGTCACAGCCACTGGAAACTGAGCTAAGTCTTCGTAACGGACTGTTAGAATTCGACCTGGTTGAAAAACAAAGCAGAAGAGATGATAAAATTGCTTTTAGTGAACTTCTACCAGCTTGATAATGGTAAATCTGGTACGGAGATGTACCACCTTTTTAACTCCCAGTGTTTGTTCATGAACTTTTCAAAACACAATGACTTCTTTATTAACAATCAGTAACATTTAAGTAGCAAAAGTATTTCTTCTGTATTGAAGGCAACGGGAATAACTCATTGATCATGAAAACAAATAACGAAACAAGTAACCCAAGTAGAAGTAATGCTATGAGCACATTGTTGCTAATAAATAACCTACCTGCATGTTTCTGTGCAATTGCTTTTGACGTCTGTATGTCATCTAAGAGCCGACGGCAAACACTTGTGTAATTTTTATGCATCTCCCCTGTCTCTTTGTCAGTAAAATGTGCACGAGATAACATGGTCCCTCTGGGGTCCCTGATGAGGTGGATGATTCTTACATCAGGATGCCGCTCTAGCAACACGTCAGCTTCTTTCATTGACAGTCTCACCACCTTTAGAAGGACGGCTGTCGCAGCCTGGCACCTGGAACAGTGGGTGTAACGGACCAGAGTAACAGTAGGGTGGCGTCAATATGGGAACGACAGGCGTTACACTAGATTTTTTTTACATTGGCTGATTGTAAGGGCAGATGAAAGGGAGAGAGGGTACTGTAAAATTTCAATGCCTCCATCCATCATTTAAGAGGCGGGCTGCTTCAACCCTTCTATTTGGCCAACCTGGGCTGAGCGGGAAGGGTATACGATAGTAAGTATATGGAAAGAAAACCAATGAAACTCGATAGAAAAATACAATGTAATACTTCATAAACCCCGGAGTCGGAGCTCCTGTCTTCTGAAAACAAAGGCAAAGAGCTTAACCAGTTAACCATGACACTGAAGGCGTCAATGCTCACAAATTGGGCTCGGGAGAGGGTTTTGGGAGAAATGAAATGAGAGACCGAGAGAGTGAAAGGGCGAGTGAGTAAGTTTAGTTTACTTTTAGTAAGTGTTTTACGGCACTTACACAATAAGGTCATATAAGTGCCGAAGATTAGAGATGTTACAAGAGAGTAACAAACATAAAAAAGGAGGAGTGATCAGGACGATAGACGTTTGACAGGAAAGAAGAAGCAAACCACACCAAAACACCCACCAACCACCCACGAGTGAGTAAGTGAAGGAGTTAAAAAGTGGTTGAATATATATATATATAT